CCCGCTTGTCTGGCTCTCTCAACAGCCCGAAGAGGTAAGCAGCAGCACTGCCCCCACCCTATAGTCAGGGACAAGGACACTCAGGTGATGTAGACTGTTAACACTCAGAATCTTCTAGGGGATTCTGACATAGAAGAGAGTGTGAGAACCACTGCTATTAGGTCTTACATAAGCCCACTGTATATAGGGACGGACAGAGAAACTCATCAGGACGTGCGGCAGCCGTGCAAGTCTTCCTGAGTCTCACCTGGGGTGCTTACCCAAGCACATACTCTGAGTTTCTGAATCGGAAGATGTGGTGGGGCGGGGGAATCTGTCTTTTTATAGGTCTGACCAATATGTGAAGAGAGAACAGAAGATTGTGAAGTTAAGGGAAACAAGGGTTCGTCTCACTCCAATGGGGCCTGGGCCCCGTTTGTCTAGCCAGGTCACAGCCATGACCTAATAATAAATGCATTTACTTCTGGCCCGGCGCGGGACCCAGTGTCCACGTGCTCCGAACTCCACCCCCAGCTTGACTCAGTGTAGGCGCCCGGGACAGGTGAAGGGACACGGAAGCGTGGAGACAGCATCAGGAGGGCGCGCAGCGCCAGGTGCACCGCGCGGTGCCCCGCCCACGAGAGGAGCGCGGCGGGGCGGGGCCGGGCCGCGGGGGGGCGGGGCCCCGGGCCTGTAGCTTGGGGGACTGAGCGGAGACGCTGTGGGGCGTGATCTGCTCAGCCTCGTTGACGTTCGCCAATCCGTGGGCTCGAAGCGGCCGCGGTCCCCGCCTCCCTCCGCCACGGGGAGAGTGCCGCGTTGCTATTGGCTGGCCAATTGGCTGGCCTATTGCTATAGGCTTCCGGCGCGGGGGGGCGGGCCCCGCGTGTTGGCGGGAAAGCTGCGGCCACGGCCCTTTCCCCCCCGATGGTGAGGGGCAGCCGGCGGCGACGTGTCCCGGGCGGGTGGCTGTGGCCAGCATGGACGCGGCGGAGGTGGAGTTTCTGGCTGAGAAGGAGCTGGTCACCATAATCCCAAACTTCAGCCTAGACAAGATCTACCTCATCGGGGTAAGCGCTGGGTCGGCCATTTGCCTCAGGCCCCAGCGCCGGGAAGGGGCGGTAGTGTTGGGGCTTCCGCGGACACCCGCCCGGCCTCCGGCTCGCCGAGTGGTCAGGGTTGGGGGGGCGGCGCCCCGAGTGGTCGGGGGGGAGTACCGGCTTGGGGGACGCCGAGTGG